TTGCAGCCTTGCAGCTTTATGCTGCTGTTGCCTACTAGACGCATGCTTTGACCCCATCTTGTGGTTTTAGTGATATGGATATGTAGGATTTTCTGTTTGTTTTTAGTTGAAAAGATATACACTAGCCTGCTAACTCATGCTTGAAAGGAAATAATAATAGATTTGAGAGGAAAAAATTAATATAAATAATTTTCAGAAAAATGTTGCTAGCTGTTAGATAATTGTATTTAAGAGTGTCGAATGACTTTATTAAAATATACTCTGTTTTATATTATAGATTCGCATTTCATATTTTACCATAAAATATATATTATAGTGCACGTCGTTCTCGTCATTGTTATATGCAACTCATCGTTTTTGTGATTCAAATTCTTAATTTCTTGACAACAATGGAATAATTTCATTTGGTACAAAGCTCGACTTATCTAGTTAGATAATTTTCTCTATATAATTGTAAGAAGAGCTTAAAAATCACCTCATTGATGTTAATCAAATGAGCAGTGGAAGTTTAACGAAAAAATTACATTGTAATACTTTTTATTCATTGATAATGTAATGTGAAAATTTTAATTTTTAATGGTGTAAAATAAAAATTCTTAAATCTTTGCAATTCACCATTTTCTTAATACCATTAAGGAATTAGTGGCAATTTCAGTTTTTGATTCTTTACCGATAATATTCATGAATTTGAAGAATGTGTGATTGGATATTTTTTTCGTCCTTATTAAAATAGTAAAACATAGATATTTTTCAACACAATCATCTATTAAATAATCTCGTTGAATAAAAGTTTAGATTAAAGAAATTCTTTAAAATTTAATCTTGATTTATTAGAAAAGTTACTAGTTAAACTTGAGCAATGAAATTTTTGAGGATATTGATTTTTGTTATCAAATGCATTTTTTTTCCTTCTAAATTTTACCGGGGATACCTGAGTTGAGTCTTAATTCATTTGAGATATAATTAGGTTGACATGCAAACTTGATCGTTTATTGAGTTTGTTGATATGAATTTGATTATACATAATTATAAATTAATATTTGTGGAGGTTAAGTAAACGTTGGTACTATATTAAGGTATTAGTTATTGCCCATTTCTAAAGGCGAGGAATAATAAAAAAAAATCAACAATAAATATATTTATATTTATACTTAAAATTAAATCTCAAACATAGAGAAGAGAAAAAAAATTTAAACATCGATTGTAAGAGGTGAGTGGTGGTAGGGAGACGATGATGATTGTAGTGATGGCAACAACTGTGATGGTGGTGGCAGTCACAGGTGAAAACGATAATGGTGGTGGTGAATTTTGGGTGACAATGGTGGTAGCGATAACTATGGGTGACGACGGTGGTGGTGGGTTATGGTGATTGATAGTGACAATGGTGGTGGTGGTGGGCGACGACTGATATTTTTGGACGACAGTGTGATGGGTGGTGGCGAACAACGACATCAGTGTTAGTGGTGAGTGACAATGCGTGGTGACAATGGTGGGCGATGACAGGTGATGGTTGTTAGTGGTAGTAGGTAGGTATAATTGGAGTGGGTAACAGTGATTGGTGACGATGGTGGGCAACGATATTTGGTATTGGATGCTGACGGCGGACGACAGTAGTAATGGAATGATGGTGGTAATAGTGATAAATATAAGAATAAAATAACGATAGTAACGGTGATGGACAACGATGATAACAATCTATGGTGGGGGTGGGGGGTAAGAGTGATGATGGTGGCAGTGGCAGTGACAGTGGTGTTAATGGTAATGGTAATAGTAATGGTGATGGTCGTAGGGGTGGTGGTAGGGCGGGGGGGGG